AAAGTTCTCTTGAAATGTCTATTTGCTCTTATTTCCATGGGCAACACATAAATGATTCGTATTAATAACATATGTCTGTGGGTAGGCTGGGGCAGATGCCTCTGATTGATAGGGCTGCGTAAGCGTGTTTGCTGAGCTCAGGTAAAAACCAAGTCAGAGAAGCCAGCCAGCAATTTGCACCTTTTCAACAGGTTGCAAATGGGCGTCGCACAAATTGAAAGCGGGAGTCAATAAAGCTTTTTGGACAGGATAAAAAGGCGCAGAGCTTGGGGCTAACAACGTACTGTATGGGTTTATCTATGTGTGTGTGTGTGTGTGTGTGTATTGGGGCTGTCTGAACTCAATGATGGATTAAATGTATTTCAAAGGCGTGAAAGCTAAAAGGTAGCACAAAGTAGCGCATTGTGGTTACATAATAAACACCAAGCACACTTCAATTTAGCTTAGGGCAGCTACACACACACACACACACACACACACACATAAAAGAACTCAATAGCTGATGTGCCATTCAATAATATACATATATATATATTGGCTAATTGTCAAAGGCTTAAAGCTTGCGGCTTATGCAAATCAGGCCAACAGCCGTGCAGTCAGGTGTAACATCTCCGATAATTGTAGTGGCTGCTGGCTGCTTAAGGCCGCCGAGCCACAGAGCCGCCGAACCACAGAGCCACAGAGCAGCAGAACCGGAGACCTGCATAGCCAATCAGTTGTTCATCCTTCGATTTGCATTGATTTACGCTCCAAGAAAATCAAATTGGCGCACGAGCAGCAACAACAACAAGGACAGCAGAAAAGGATACAAGTGCCACATAAAAGGATTCCTGAGCATCCTCTTAATATAAACTGATGCAAGCACACAGACTTCGAGCAGCAAATGAAGCGTGCCCTTTAAGGCGAGATGTCTTACAAGACCCACACAAGATAAGGGAAGCGCAAAGGAAGTGTATCCTGTTCACGAAAAAGTATAAATTCGGTTTGCCATGACAGCGATTTTAATATTAAATTCCATTTTGATGCAGTGACAAAGGTGCTTAGCATTTGAGTATTCGAAAAAAAAAATTAAAGAGAAACATAAAAACAGCATTCAGGCACTCGTAGTCCCAACAGCTGCTGCTAAGTGTAAATATTTAAATTTTTATTTAAATTTATACCCTATATACATGACAAGTACAAGCATTTCAATTTGCACTCTCTATATTAAAGTAGAGTCTACTTAAAGACTCACTTGACTCAGACTAATCCAAGACATTTTTCGCTAGAGTATGAAAATCTGTCAACGATGAAAAATTAAGAAAATAAGAGTAGCGTGAATTTTATGAAAGTAGTTGAACATGACGGGCAAATGTCAAAAAATGGCGGACATGATTAATGAAACAGCAGCGCCCTCT